TGGCAACTTTGCAACTGTGGCATTCCCACAGGTTTCGCACACGGGGCTTTGCTTCCGCCTCACCAAATCTGCGGCTGCGTCACAGCCTGCCCACGGTTTTTGATTTACCTCACAAAAACAAGGTCCTCTACCAAGGCTGCAGCACCGCCTCCCCGGCTCTTTGCTTCCTCATCCCAGTACAACCTCCCGCAGGCTCTTTGCTTCCACTCACCCAAGGTCTGGGCTCTTTGCATCCCACCTCGGGCATTAGGGCTACAACGTTTTTTTCTAGCGGACGCCTCTTTACATCAGTAGCACAATAGGCCGTTCTTGTGGGTCTCGCAACTAGGTGTGAAACAGATCGCCGTGAAAGCAAGAAGAACAAGAAAGACGAAACAGACACACCAACCAAACCAACCAAACAACCCAGCAGCAACCAAAAGAAACCAAAAGCGACCAAACTACTAGGTTCCCCGCGCTCTCAGTACTCAACGTTCGTCCAAATAGTCCAAGAGCACATCCATGCCGCACCAAGCTGTGCAGGGAAATCGCAAAATGCGAATGTATGCCAGAATATCAAAACCACCATCTTGTAGCCATTTGCTCAACGTCAATCTGCAGATATCTGCAAAGATCAGCGGTGCCACCACAGTTGGTCATCCATCGCAAGATGACAAGAGAAGCCACTAGAACAGAAGCCAACCCTTCCAGCAGGAAGGGCAGGCCAAAACGTGCCCCATGGTTTCAGCCAGTGGAACTTTAACACACACCAAAACAACCGCAGCAACCCAAGACCAAGCACCAAACGTCTATGTGTCCCCAGCGCTCAGTACTTAAGGTTGTCGCAGAAATCCAGGTAAAATCAAGCAGTGCAGAGCATGCAGGGGGGTTGCAAAATGCGAAAGTTTGCCAGATCATTCTGTTAAGCACTTTTTCAACATGGCTTGGCTGTACTTGGAACTTGAAGCCAATTAGACAGTTCTTTGATGTTGTTGCTCAGGGCGATCACCATGGGATGCTCTGAACTGGTTCTGCACAAATTGCTTACAATTGCTCGTTCTGTGTCAAGAACCACAACTGCGCTGTTGATGTAGAAAAGGCATTGGTTCAAAAAAAACAAGAGAAGTGCTTACAGAGGGCCAGACGTGCAGGTGCCAGCAGATGGACCGCCGTGGGTGTTCTGCTAGAACTGCAGCAGAGAAGTGCAGAAAATAAATAAAGCGTTGGTAACGCAGTTGCGATGCTCTGTTAGGGCAATTCCAATTACTGATGCTGCTGTGCGCACAGCTGGTCTAGAGAAGAAGCACTCAATCGCCGTGCGCAACGCCAATTGGCGGAAAGCCGACCATGGCCCCAACTAGCCGCTAACAGCACCGACCTCCAGGGTGGTCCCATCGGCTTTTGTGCCGGTGGAAAAGAAACAAGACATATTTCTATTTTGAATGTGCTTTGACCAGTGAAGTCATACTGTGCAAGCCGGCAACTGGTCTTAAAAAGCTGCCCGATCAAATGCTAGATTTAATTTGAAGATTGCATGCGCTGGAAAGCAGCGTCAATGGCAAGAACTTTAAGCTTGGATCTGGACTCGATGTTACGTTAAGGCTAGCTGGTTTTGGCAGATGCGATGGGCTGTTGCGGCGAGCAACCCCATGTGGCTACCTCTTAGTTGTAGGCGCCAACTCCGATGGGGTGAGAAAGATCAACGGGTCCAGCCCACGGGTGAATGATAAGGTTGCACAAGGAAAATCCAGCCTTGCTTTGGAACAAGAAGCCTGACGCTTGACAAAGACACACAAGCCCAAGGTGAGTCCAGCGAGCACGCAGTTGATTGCGCCAAAGCCAAAGTTGGCACTTAGGAAATGTTTTGAATGCCCCCATATTACGTGCTGGTAAGTCTCCATAAGGCTCATGTTCTTATCGCGCAATTCTTCTTCAGGGAAACTTGAGCGCAGTAAGGACTTGATTTGCAGCATTATTTTTATTATATTGAGAGACAAAGCGGGTGGAAGCATTATCAAAAATTTGATGTTTAAAGAAAGCACAATATCTGCGATCAGCCAGCTAAGTTCCAGACGGGTGCTCAGTTTGCTCTTTCCTTCAGGATGGTCTGTTGTGCTGACCCGAGTCTCTAGCCACCTTCCGGCTGGACTACGGTAAGAGCAGACAGGCAATGCAAGCTAGGCCCTGCGGCATCAAAAGGGCATCCTGCCCCCCTAATGCAAAAAGACAGGCTTCCGGGCCTGCATGCGCAGAACAGCGGAAATCTCTGGTAGAAGGCGCACAGACGTGCTGAGCGAAAATGTTGATTGCAGGCCCGCAGACTTGAGCCTGCCGCTTGCATGATCGTTTCTGCCTGCTTGAGCAAGAAAGATCGCACGCGAACAATGCAAGACTGCTTTGCTTTGAATGCCAGCCAAAAACAAGTTTAGCACAGTCCAATACCGGTCTGCATTTCGGTTGCCGCCGGCAAAGCAGAGTCTTCTAGACAGGAGGTGGCTGGAATGGCAGTAATCAAGTGGCGTGGGTTTCTGTCGCGATCAAGTGCCATGTCGCACTCGCTGTGGTAAGCATGCCACCCTTTAACTCTGCGCTTCTCCGCTGCAGTTCTCCCGCTTTTGCGCACTTCCGGCAAACATTGCTTGGTTGTGCTTGGAGCTTGGAGCCATTGTGGTTCTTCGTCGTTGCTTAGAGGGTGCCCTGGACTGGTCCGCACACCGCTGACAATTGCTTGCTGAATGCCGCTCGCTTGCGGCGTTGGCGGCGCTTGCCGTGTGCAGGCAAGCGTTTCCGAGCCTGCTAACTGCGGCACCGCTTGCCGTGTGCAGGCAAGCGTGCCCGCTTGCACTTAGATCCTGTCCCTTTAAGGCCAGAACTTTAGAAGCACAGTGCCCAACATCCCTTGCTTAATTCTGCAATTGGTCATACAAGCACAGTCCCCCCAAAACCCCCCTGCCTATCTCTGCAATTGAACTTTAGAAGCACAGTGCCCAACATCTCTTGCTTAATTCTGCAATTGGTCATACAAGCACAGTCCCTCCAAAACCTGCCTATCTCTGCAGTCCCAAAACCCGACTGCCTATCTGTGCAGTTGGTCATACAGGCACAGTCCCCCCAAAACCCCCCTGCCTATTCTGCAATTGGTCATACAAGCACAGTCCCCCCAAAACCCCCTTCCTATCTCTGTAACTGGTCATACAAGCACAGTCCCCCCAAAACCCCCTTCCTATCTCTGCAACTGGTCATACAAGCACAGTCCCCCCCCTTCCTGTTTCTGCAATTGGTCACACAAGCACAGTCCCCCCAAAACCCCCTTCCTATCTCTGCCATTGGTCACACAAGCACAGTCCCCCCAAAACCCCCTTCCTATCTCTGCAATTGGTCATACAAGCACAGTCCCCCCAAAACCCCCTTCCTATTCCCCCCAAAACCCCCTTCCTGTCTTTGCAACTGGTCATACAAGCACAGTCCCCCCAAAACCCCCTTCCTATCTCTGCAATTGGTCATACAAGCACAGTCCCCCCAAAACCCCCTTCCTATCTCTGCAACTGGTCATACAAGCACAGTCCCCCCAAAACCCCCTTCCTATCTCTGTAACTGGTCATACAAGCACAGTCCCCCCAAAACCCCCTTCCTATCTCTGCAACTGGTCATACAAGCACAGTCCCCCCAAAACCCCCCTTCCTATCTCTGCAGTCCCAAAACCCGACTGCCTATCTGTGCAGTTGGTCATACAGGCACAGTCCCCCCAAAACCCCCCTGCCTATCTCTGCAATTGGTCATGCAAGCACAGTCCCCCCAAAACCCCCATTCCTATCTCTGCGATTGGTCATACAAGCACAGTCCCCCCAAAACCCCCCTGCCTATCTCTGCAATTGGTCATACAAGCACAGTCCCCCCAAAACCCCCCTGCCTATCTGTGCAATTGGTCATACAAGCACAGTCCCCCCAAAACTGCAATTGGTCATAGAAGCACATTCCCGCAAACGCAAAGCATTTTCCAGAGATTCTGCACCAACTGCCGTGGCGACTTCCGAAGAGTTCCCAAACTTCTTGGAAGTGCCCTGCACATGCGGTTACGAAAGGGCGCGCACCTCAGGTGATGGAGTCCGCACCTTCTCACGGAAGCCAGCGGATTGCTTGTTTTTTTTGGCTCGACCGCGCTTGTGGGCCTTTGGCCCATGTGCGATCGGATTCAAATTAAAGTCGGACACAAGGCTTTTTACAAAAGCAGCGTGCTCAGACGCTGTGTCATGAGTAAAGTGCGGATGCTCGTCCAAAATTTGGCCATCGGCCAAGCAACACACCAACACGTAACGGTAGAACAAGGATTTATGACGCTTGAAACTCCACATGTGCACGTTCCCCAAGCTTTGTCGCATCATGAGCTCAGGGTCTTCATGCAAACACGACATAAACAAGTCCAAACGACTCTGCAACTCTTCTGGCTTTTCCAGAGCGAGTTTCATCTGGTACTTAGGAAGCACATACACTTCTGCCACAGCTTTGGTGCGTCCATCAATTAGAACACGGGCACCGTCCAAAACCTCCTTCAAGTACGTGTGTTCCGCACCGTGCTCTTCCAACCATTCTCGCATCTGGGCGGCACTTAGCCGCCTGTGCTGGACGCCGCACGGGTCTACATCTGGCTCTGACATAATCTGCTTGCCCTTGTTCGACAAGTGAACTGGCAGAGGCGTTTCAAGTCGGAAGAACACACTTGCGAATTGCCCGGTCCGTGTCCAGGTCAGAAGAAGTTGGGCCGTGTTTTGAACTAGATCACCCAAATCCAGGTGCCTTCCATCTTTGGGCAAACTCCCCTTCAGTGTCCGCCACATCCTCTCCTGGCTGTTGGAGGTGTATGTGTTGTAGCCAATACAAATGGAGCCCAAGCCTGACTGCCACCGTGCTCCGTACCAGCGTCTAGAAGACTTGTCTAAGATGTGCTCCTCCAAGTAAGCGGCCATGGACTCCTGATTTGGCTTAGGTATTGAGTCCGACCTTAAAGACTTACCCTCTGACTCTTAGACCAGTCTATCTTTCGAACCACACTCCTCGTGCCACTCGTTGCGAAGCCGACCCAGGGTGTCTTTCCAGACGGTATGAAATTCACTGGGTTGCGAAAGCTTCGCTGAAAACTCGACCACGTCGGTGATGTAAGTTCTCAAGTTGGTGTCTTGCAGTTTGCCGGCATTGTCCTTAATGTTCTTCTTCACATGTTGCAAATCCCGGTGGATGCATGCACCTGGGAACTGGCGCTGCATGGCTGCAAACGCACCTGCGTGGCCGTCGAGGAAAATGTTGCTTACCTTTCCCGGATTCACACCCGTCTTGTCAATGAAAGCCTTGCACAAGAGATCATACGCACTCTCATCTTCAGCTTCAGAGACACTGAACATCACAGGCCAGAACCGACATCTCACCTTTCCATGGTCGTCTCTATGAAGTACTGCAAGTCCCAAACTTCCAAGAACCAATCTTTGATGGTTCGTCTGGTACGTGCAATCGGAGATCAAGATGATCCTTTCACTTCCTGCCATGTACTCCGTGGCGGCCTGCATGTTGGATGCCTCAAAGAAGGCAAAGCGAACTTCATCTTCGGACACTGCGGCGTTCATGCTCTCGAACACAGATACTGGTTCTGGCGGATTGTTCAAAAAGTCCTTCAACATTTCCACCAGGTCCACACAGAACTTCGACCGCTTTTTTAAGTATCTGTGTCGCGAACCATCCAAAGCACGAGTCGTTGGAATATGTGCCTCTGGCACTTTGTCCGTGACCATCTGCTTCTTCGCGAGTGCGGTAGGAAGATGACTGTACTTTCTTTTCAAGATGGACTGCTCCACCTGTGCCCAAAACCCTGCAAACCCGCAAGAACCAATGTTCGCAGAACTGCTAAACCCAACAAACAAGTCTCATTGTTCACAAACAATCCCACCTCCAACTTTGACTGTCCATCATGCTTTCGATCCTTCTTGTTGCACTCCACAATGAAGAATCTTTCGCCTTCTTGCACAAGGCCGAGCAACTGTAAGTTCTCTTGCTTCAGAAACATGAACCTAAAGGCCAAACCACAACCATCATGTCTGTGGCAATGCCCGAGCACCGTGGTCTGCTTCTGAAAGGTGGAGACTTTCAACTCAATGCGCTCTTCACCGGAGTTTTGCAACCATGCACGAGCTGTCGCCGTCAAGTCTTGCTCTGCCGAAGCAGAACAAGAAAGCACATGCCAGACGTACACGGATTTAGGCGCCATTTTGAACAAAAAATGAACCTGCAAATGTTGCGCAATTCCAGCTCCGGTTCTTCTGCACACACACACACACACATTTGCATACATACATCCATCCATGCATACATACATACATACACACATACATACAAACACACACACACATACATACATACATACATACATACATACATACATACATACATACATACATACATACATACATACATACATACATACATACAACATACACACATACATAGGAAGCACATACATACATACATACATGCATACATGCATACAGGCAGACATGCATACATGCATACATGCATGCATGTACACATGCACACACGCATACACGCATACATGCACACATGCATACATGCACTCTGTACTGCAGAGGCAAAACAGCACCGTAGAGTGCCTTCCAGGATGGGTTTCGCCTCTGCAAGCCTGCGGAAATCCGGAAAGAAAATTGTAATTTTGCACCAGGCCCTCTCGGTGCAAGACACCTGGTTCATTTTGGGTTTTCTGTCAAACTGGTCTTGAGACACTCTTTTTTTTCTCCTGTTCAAAGTGGTCTTAAGAACACTCTTTCGTGCAAGACAACCCTCTGGTTAATTTTTTTGAGTTTCCTGTTAAAGTGGTCTTAAGACCTTTCGTGCAGACAGCCTCTAGTTTTTGTTTTTTTTTTGGTTTTCTGTCAAAGTGTTCTTGAGACACTGTTTTGGTGCAAAACACCTGGTTCATTTTTTTGGGTGAGTGGTTTCAAGACACCCTTTACACATGACACAGACACACATAGACAGATACAGACACAGAAACAGACAGCAGTTTGGACTGGAGTTTAGTGGAGGTGCCAAATTGGAGCCTTCTGTCAACTCTTTCCAGCATGTATGTGTGTGTGTGTTTTTTACTTGAATTAAGAGAACCGCCCAAACTTAAGGTCTTAGATGATTTTGCGTTTATAAACCTGACCATCAGAGTGGCTCCTTTATTTTTTTTATTTTAGATCTTGAACTGCTTGCAAAAACTCTCAACCTGCTTTTTTGGTTCAGAGAAGCTTGGTGGCCAGAATCGGTTTAAAAGTAATTTTGTTGGCCAAACCAGATTTTTCTCTGACTGGAATGACGAATGACACACAAAACCCAAAACCGATAAGACATACACAGAGAATAAAACAGACACAGACACACACATAGAACATAGACACGCAAAAAAGCAGACAAGACACAAAGAAAAAAGAGCACAAACAAAAATGCAAAGCATGGACACAAGTCTTTGCTTTGGCAGTGTAAGTTTTTCTGTATTGGTTAGATCTTATGTTTAAGCAATTTGCTTTTGGGTTTTTGGAGTTGTGCAGAGTTCAAATAAAAAATAAAAAACTTGAAACAAAGGCAAAGAATTTTTTTTTTTGGACTGACGCCTCTTTACTACATCAGTAGCACAGTAGGCCGGTCTTGTTGGGCTCGACGTAAAGGGTGAAACAAAGTCAGCGCACACAATCCGCCAGACACACCAAGCAACCACCAAGCAAACAAACACCAAAGAAACAAAGCGAGCAATCGCGCTGAACTACTAGATACCCCACGGACTCAGTACTCGAAGTCGTCAATGAAGTCCCGGTTCACAAGGAAGCACAGAGCTTGTGGGGGAATCGCAAATTGCGACATTGCCAGATTCTCAAAACCACCATCATGTAGCCACTGGTGCGACAGCGGTTATTCAAACCGAGGTCATCAGAAGAGGTTCGGATCACGTACTCGTTGTCAAGGACAGACAACCGACACTCAATGGCGAAAGGATGTTGCAAGTCAGACTCCCTAGGGGGGATGAAAGATGTGCATATGCCCCATGGTGGTCAGCCAGTGGGGACTTAACAGCAAGAACAATCAAGGTAAGACCGGCCCAGGGCACTCCATGGTGGTCAGCCAGTGGAGTAGCTCCGAGCTCTGGGTGCTCCATTCACCTTGGCGTACAAGTGCCCACCCAGAGAGGTGTCCGCGCCCGGCACAGGGGGCATATGCCCCATGGAGGTCAGCCAGTGGGGACTTAACAGCAAGAACAATCAAAGCAGGACCGGCCCAGGGCACTCCATGGTGGTCAGCCAGTGGAGTAGCTCCGAGCACAGGGTTCTCCAGTCAACCTGGCGTACAAGTGCCCACCCAGAGAGGTGCCCGCGCACGGCCAGAGGGGGGGCGAGAGTAGCTGCAGCTACCGATTCCACGGGGAGAGTCCACAGCGAGTTACCAAACCCTTAACGCCACAGGGTTTATAATGACAACGAGGAAACTCCCAGTCCAGGCATCTCACACAAGGCCACGCAACCTTGGCGCTGGCCTGCGCATCGGCACGCATCAGGTCCCTCCAAACCCAAACCCGCGCCTGCCAAGTTAGCGGGTGCATAATCTCCACGTAGAAGTGTCCACAGCCAGCGCGCCGAACTGCTAGGTCACCCTGTGCACTCAGTACTCGAAATCGTCGAAGAGGCCGGGAGCACACATGTAGCACCGAGTGCGCAGGTGCGTCGCAAAAGGCGACGTTGCCAGATTCACAAAACCACCATCATGCAGCACCGACGCGAATACATTCAGCACCAGCCAAAGGTCGTTCACGAGAAGGTTCACAAGGCCGCCATCACAGGTGGGGCATAGTCCACGGGAACCTTCTTGATTCAAAGTATAAAGTTGCCCCATGGTGGTCAGCCAAGGGGACTTAACGGCAAGAACAAAGGGTAGGACCAGCCCAGAGCACTCCATGGTGGTCAGCCAGTGGAGCCTCTCCGAGCACAAGGCGCAACGTTCTTTTGACTTACAAGAGTCTCGTCCGACGGCCAAAGCAAGCTTGACTGCTTCGTTCCAATCAGAGCCATCAGGTAAACCCAAGCAGGCGGGGACCCCACCTGCCCTGCAGGAAGCGGGAGAGTCCCCCAGTCGAAACTTCGCACTCAAGGCCAAGCAACTATTTCCTTGGCCGGTGAGGGTTGAGGGTTCAATAACCAGAATCAGACCCTCCATGCCCAAACCGACAGACGTCGGCGAGGAGATGTAAGGGCTTACATCACGCTTGGCCACCTACCGATGGGGAGGTAGTCATATGGCTGCTTTGACGCGAGCAGAGATTTACACCCAAGCAGGCAGGGAACCCCCGCAGCAACCCAAGCACAGGCGAGAATGGCTCTCGTGAAGGCCAGGTTGTCCACAGGTGCGTAGTCCGTGGCAGATGGCCAGTGGAGCAACCACGAAAGAAAGACCTCCCGTTCCCACAGGCACACTGCGGGGCCGACCCAGAAGGGTGTTTACAGCTGCAAGCTGTAAGCACACAAAAGACAAGCACGATCCAATCCGTGGCATAGACTACGAGAGAGTTGCCAAACCAAGAGTATCCTGAGGTAGTCTTGCGGCATGTATCGGCAAGGAGATGTGAGGGCTCACATCACGCTAGGCAGCATCCCAGTCCGGACGCCGGGAGCGATGGCCAGCTGTGGTATGGGAACGCTTCCCGTCTTTGGTGCGAAGCACTCTCCGTGGCAATTTTTTCAAATTTTCCAAAATGCAAGTTTCAGCACTTTTCAAGGTTTTTGGAGTTAATATTCATTGTTTGCAGGCGTCGCTGGGTCGTTGTTCAGCTCTCTGCAGTGGTCTTAGCCGGAATTTACCTAGACGGAATTTCTGAAAGCTGCATATTTTCAGAAATTTAGATTTTTGTCTTTGAAAACCATGAAAAATGTGTTTTTTTTCCTTTCGTTAAAAACTTTTTTGTTTGCTTCCATTTTACCTGGCAAGATAGTAAGGCTCATTTTGTTTTCAGATCATTTCGTTAACAATGTTTCTCAAACAAGGAAAAAAAAAAAAAAAAAAAAAAAAAAAAAAAAAAAACATCAATTGATGTTTTTAGAATTGTGCTCAATCTGCTTTGACCAAGGCAACTTCGAACCAGTGTTTTTCTGGTTTTAAATGTTTTTCATGTTTGAAATTACAAAAATTGCTCAACAGGGCATCTTCAATTTGCTCAAGTTTGGTGTTGCCTTGCATGTGTTGAGCCAGACAGAAAAAACAGCCAAAGTTTTTTTAAGGTCATGTTTCTTTGCTTTGTTCAGCCTTTGCAGGTGCAAACAGGAAAAAATGCACGTCAAGTCAAAGCAGCAGAAAAAAAAATGGGCTAAGTTTAAAGTCTTGGCTTTGACGGGAAACGGTAGATGGGCTGCGACAACTGCAATTGCAGACCGCGTGGGTGGTGGTGGCGGACCGTGGACATAAGTTATGACTCAATGACTCATGACTATGACATGACTCATGACTCATAACTCATGAATCCCATGTCTTTGCACTTTCGTTTGATGTTGGTTGAATGGTAGGTGCGCCGTCTCATCCCTCTTTTCAATCTTATTGCTCTAGCGAACTGGGGCGCTGTTGCGTTGAAGAAGCAGTGAAGGAAAAAAAATGACTTATGACTTCCACAAAATACATTCTGTTTTTTTTTGAACGCCGCGTTTTTTCTATGTTTTTCAAGATTTTCAATATGTTAAATTTTGATCCAAAGCAAGCCGGTTGGCTTAGTTTCAAAAAGTTAGTATGGATCATCTTGTTCATTTCGTTGACAATGTTTCTCAAACAAGGAAAAATTGAACAAAATCAATTAACGTTTTTTTTTTTATTTTGTTTTTCAGGCAAGTTTGTTCAGAGCGATTCTGTTTCTAAACAAGGCATTCCAAAATTATTATTCATATTGCAGACTTTGAAATGCTTCGAAACCAGTTTTTTTCTGTGTTTTAAACGTTTTTTCATGTTTGAAATTTTAAAACAATTTGCTTTAAAAAACGTAGCAAAAGAGCATCTCCAATTTGCATCTCAAGTATGGTGTGGCCTGCATGTGTCAAGCCAGGACAGCTGAAAAACACAGACCAAGTTCTTTGAAGTTCTGTTTCATTGCTGGTGGTTTTGTTTCAGCCTTTTCTGCAAACAGGAAAAAATGCACGTCCTCCAATACTGCATGTGTGTGTGCCGCCTCCAATGCTGCATGTG